CCACTACTACTACTACTACCACTACTACCACTACTACTACTATTACTACTACCACTACTACTACTACTACCACTACTACCACTACTACTATACTACTACTACTACTATTACTATTACTACCACTACTATACTACTACTACTGTCACTATCACTACTATACCACCACCACCCGTCAACCTCACTCCAATACCATCTCCTTATGCTTACATGTGCAAGAGTGGATACTATTACTCTCTCTCTCCCTCTCTGTCTCGTATCTTCACTTAAAATTCTGGTCATTGAGCGTTTGATCCACAGAGGGTGGGTAGCGTACCGTTCCTGGTACGACTCGCTTACTCGCATTCTCTACTTTTGTATAACCGAATTACTTTAAACTCACATGATTATTCAGTATCATCAAGTTAGGATGCAGGGTTATCTATCGTTTATTATTTAAATTTCTTACGTTTTCATTGTCATGTGTTTAATACAATAATATCGAATGATATAGGCTCTGTGCTAATAAGTCGATTCATTAGTCAATAATATGCTTGCCTGGCTAGAAATTAATGATAACATTTTCAGGACGGTTATTACCATAAAGTTTTCTTTTAAACATCTCATACTTTTCTCGCTCCCTCTCTCGATTGCTTCATCCTCGAATCATTACCAATGGTACTATTATAAAATGTTTAGCAAACTACAAAGATACATAAATAAAAATTTCTCTTTTATAATTGGTCCTAATGTTTCAAGCTGGATGTGCTTAGGATATTGAAATAAATACATTTTTTATAAGAAGCATACGTTAATCTTTGGATACAACATTTTCATTTTTAATATGACATTTATAATCATATATGCTTAACATTTCTAAAAATTATTTGTGCGTGCGTGCGCGCACCTACGCGTGTGTCACTAATATATTGGGTTTCATAACTAAAACATATGCGTTATAATCTTAATCTCATCCATTTATTTTAATTGAAAAGTACTTTTTTATTAGGCTACTAAACTTTCACCTAACCTTTTGAAAATGTTCAATATATATTCTGTTCTTAAATTATTTAATATCATGTAATTACTACTATTAGTGACTTTTATTAGCAATTCATATATCAATTTAATAATAACTTAAATTTATAGATTAAAAGATAAACAAATATAAAGAAAAACGTTTATTTATTTTTTAGAGTTGTATAAATATCTTATATTTTAATTCAATGTTTCATTGGATTATTCTTACGAATTGATCGATGAAATAATATAAATAATTTTTAAAAATATTCTAATTAATTGGCAAAATTATGATTTGAACATAATATGCCAATACATTGCTATTCTCATACGCCTTATTCTTCCTTTTCTTACATACATTTTTGTGTCTTGCAATCGTCATACTCATTATATTCAAGCTGGCTAATCGAATTATTATTAAAAAAAAAAACCTTTTTAAATTGTTTCAAACTATCAATTCTTCCAAAATGGATTCAATCCTTTTTTCCAAAGTTATATATTTTTCTTGTAGTTTGCTAATAAGATTGAATTGATTCGATTACAAAGTTACGTGAGAATATGTTGGCCAATGAAAGATAAACTAATTTTTAAATACAACATTTATTGCATTTGATTAACTTTCCTTCTTCCAAACGTGTATTCAAAATATAAATATAAATTAACGATCAGTCCTTCTTTTTGTTTAATTAACCTCTGTTGTGAACTGTCTGTGCATTGTTTTTCGCGAGAGAAACTTAAAATTTTTGTGCCGATAAACCAGAACTCTGCTATTGAGAATTATACTTCATCACATAAGTTCTTTATTAATTTAATAAATCACTCGCCTGATAATACTGAAAATATAAAAAGAGAATTACATGAAATATTATCAAAATTATTATCTTAAAAAATATAATATTTTTACATAAATAAGCGATTGATTTTTTTGATAATAAATTGTGTTCTTTATATAAAAATAATAAATCATAATTGATAAATTATTAAATATATACATATATATATATATATATATATATATATATATATATATATAGATAAAGTATAATAATATTGAAAAAAATATTAATCGTTTAAGATTTTATGTTACCATGGTGCCATTTAATGCAGTAACTAATGCATACTAGTACGTTGACCAATATAACCGAACAAACATTGCTTTATGATTCTTGGTGTTTTTTTTTTTTTTTTTTTTTTTTTTTTTTTTTTTTTGTTTTTTTTTTGTTTTTTTTTTTTATCCATTGAACTAACACCAATAAAAAATAAGTTAATGGAAAATTCCATTTTATTGTTACAAGTTATCTTGATAATGCATAACAAAAAGTAGAATTTTTTTTTAATCTACTGATTTTGTGCATTTAAAAGAACATAATAATATCCATTGTTTTGCAAGAACCATTACTGATATTGAGGTCAAGTAAATAATATTGCCAATTTCTTCTTTTTTTTTTGTTTTATAAATTTTATTTTTTTTTACGAGCGCCAATGTAGGATAGTCGTTGAAAAATAGAGAATAATAATTGACAACTTTATTTGTGTTCTTATGTTATATATGTTGGCACTTGTCGACAAACTCGCGTTTCATCGTACACTCAACGGTCTGTTTTCCATGTACCAAAACGAAGATGACGTTGGTACTTCTTAACAGCCATATTTACTTTGACGTCGTTTCCGTTGAAATATATATCCAGATAATGTTAAAGAGATAAATAAAAAGTATTTAGTATTAAATGCACGTATTTTTATTATTCTCACAACAATTCAAACAATGCAAATATTAGCCAATACGAGGTGCATAATTTGCGAGTTCGTGCAGTCGAGCTCTAATATATATATATATATATATATATAAATATATATATATATATATATATATATATATATATAATAAATAATGAAAATGTAATATAAAACAGAAATAGCTGCACTTCACTTATATAACAAATTCATTTGATACAATCAACCTTAGTCGATTGTAGACATCACTTTGATTAAAAACACATATCTTTCATTGAAAATCTACCATTCGTATGACAAAACAATGTCGATGAAAGCATTGTAAAAACTATTGGAAGATGCTGTTAAAATAGCAGCACCTTGACGTTCGGAATTTTCGAGTGTAACATGCCCTTTAACAAGGTTTAATGCCGAACGAATCTCGGTCACGTTTCCGTCCAACCGCAACACTTGAAAGATTAAATGTAACATACTCTAAATACTACCTGTATGCTTCCACTACTTAAGCAATGCTAATGAATTGATTAGTCGTATGATCGATATTTAAATTGAATATTTCTCATTAAAATCATATTATTAAAAAGTATTTACTAAATATCCAGTTTAATGAATCTTTTAAATATTATTTTTATATCTGCATTGAAGGAGGAAGTTCCGTTATATTACTGTTGATTACCATTAGAAAAGAGTTTAGACGATAACGAAATTATCGTAACACCATACCTATACCTATACCTATATATAGACCTGTGCCATATCAAAATTAAGTGACCTTTAAATACGGTGCACACGCATCGTGCTCTTTATGCTACTATATTTGTCTTATATTTCTGTAATCGAGCAGAAGCTAATCCAGGTTCTTCCCAAAAGTTGCAACTATTGAGACACAAGACGAAACTAAGAATGAACCGCCATATACGATCGACCAGCAAACCAAAAATTGACCTCCCATGTGTGTATCATCGGTTTGGTTAGTGTGTGCGTGCGCGCGTGCGAGCTCTTCGTTTTGACAAAGCTAAAGCGCGAATATCGCTCTCTCTCTTTCTCTTTCTCTCTCTCTCTCTCTCTCTCTCTCTCTCTGATAATCGTAGGTTCGTACCGATCACACGAGCCATAAAGCCTCCGACTATCATTCGCAACAGTTACGGGCCCGAGCTCCAGCAGCGTCATCTCCGTAGCTGGGCCCTCGACAACAAGCTGGACACGAACAAGCGTCAGGAGAGCTCCTGCAAAACGCAGAGCCCCACATCCGAGGTAAACTGCGTTGTGTGCTCGTGTACGAGCGTGCGCGTGTGCGCGTGCGTATCCACCTCGTACGTGCACACGCCCGCTTATGGATCTCCCATCGCCTAGCCAGGGCAGTAATAGACTGAATCGCGCAACAAGTAGGGCGCCGGGCGCAGGCGCAGCCACCACCGGCAGGGGCGCGCGCGCGCGATCCTCCTCCCTCCGTTGTCCTCGTCACCGTCGAGTATCGATCCCAGCTGTGCTCTTCTCTCCTCTCTAACCGTGTCCGCGCTGGCGCAGGCTACGGGAGAGTGAGAAAACGCTAGCAGCAGCAGCAACGGCGGCAGCGGCGGCGGCGGCGATGACGGTGGTGGCAGTAGTACCTAGCGACAGCCTCCTCCACTCTAGTACGTAATTCGGTGGAGCTGATGGCGGATGGCGAGCCTGCAGGATAATCAGCCCCTAGTGGCGGCCCCACTCGTGACCTCGGCGACGGAATCGAGCTCCGAGGGCTCCGCCAAGCAACAACTCGGCAGCCAGCAGACTGGCGTCACCGACGTCCTGCGTTCTGTCAGGCAGAACTGCGGCCGCGCGCGGCCCATCGTCGCCCCGGCCAACAGAGCCACCACCACCACCACCACCACTACTACCGCCATCACCGCCACCACCATACCGCCATCACCACCACCACCACCACCACCACCACCACCACCACCACCACCGCTATCACCGCCACCACCACCACCACCGCCACCACTACCACCACCACCACCACCACCACCATTACCAACAGCAACACAACCGACCGACCGGACGAGGCCAAGGCAAAAACAAAATAATAATGGCATTACGCAACAACGCCCTGCGATTACGCGCGCCCCTGTACCCCGCATTCAATGCCTGTATGCGTCTCTGTCTCTGCCCGCTAATCTTAACCCGTCGCGCGATGCTCTCTACCTAGATTTACCCGATAAGCAAACCCCCGAGTGCGGATGACCCCCTGGACTAATGGCCTGCGCGCCCGCCGCGTGACTCTTTTACAGAATGATGGTGTCGGCGGTGGCGTCGTCGTCGGGCTCCCGGGCTCTGGGGCCGTCCGGCTCTCCTCCAGGAGTCGGGCCCTCGAGGAACCGCACATCGGCAAATACAGGCTCCTCAAGACCATCGGCAAGGGCAATTTCGCCAAGGTCAAACTTGCCAAGCACACGCCCACGGGCAAGGAGGTCGCCATCAAGATCATCGACAAAACCCAACTCAACCCCGTCAGTCTGCAAAAGGTAAGGAGAAGGAGAGCGCCTTTTTTGCTTTTTACTATCAAATCGCACATAATACCGTCACTCGCGGTCGAGCAAATGCTCAGACTTAGCGGACAAACCATTTCTCAGCAGGCGTAACAACGCTTTGACGTAACGTCAAAATAAATTCTAACGAGGGAAGGATTCTGAGCGACCACGAAGCTCTATTTTACATAATTTCATCCCTTGTAATTAATGGCAGCTGAGCATTAAATTTTTATTTTTTTTTTTTTTTTTTTTTTTTTTTTTTTTTGTCTTCTTCAAAACCTCCTCGACTCTTCAATTTTTATTCCATAGGCTTTTGCCTTAACTATCAAAAGAAAAATGATTTGATACCGAGAGACACGTACTCGCTCACTCGATCACTCACGCGCGCATACATCTCTACAAATGGAATATATTGCTTCTAACAAATTACCTCAGCCATGTCGTTGGCCTGAATTTCTATTTTATGTATACTCAATATTTTTTTATTCTTCATCGCTAAAAATTTCTATCTTTACCAAATGACTGGACGATTCTATCGAGAATGCAAGTACCATTTAAAAATAATTATATATAAGGAACAATATTTTGAAAAATTATATCCGGCTTTATGCTAATTTATGAACGGAAAAGTAAATGTTTATAAGTGAATGTAAAGTTGATTGGCCATTTGAATATTATTAATAGAAAGCCCTTAATATACGTGTCTATTTAAATGTCACAAAAATTTCATCTCCGGTACGTTAACCTTATGCTATTAATTAATTGTTTTAATATCATATCCTTGAAAATAGAGGCATTGAAATTCAATAGGGTGTGGTGCTGCTGTCTTACGCTATCGTATTATTGTGTATCTTCCATACAGTCGGATAATCGTATACACAGCATTAGAATGCTTTGGCAATTGATTTTTCACACTCTTCAAGATTACGTAATCATATTGCATTTATAAATTGACTTAATTTGCGATAAGTGTATATATAAATCAAAACAATGTCAGCATTATTTCTAGTTCACTTTTAGTCGCTTATAGGATAGTCATGTTTATCATATTTACAGCAATATTTACAACGAAATAATCTAAAAAAATACTAGCAAACAAGATAATTAGAAAATTACCGAATAGCATTATTAAAAATAATATTCCACTTTATCAAACCAATTACTCCTTATCTTTTAATATTACAAATACGAAATATTTATTTACAATGCCAACCTCGTACATACGTTTAATTATACATTGCATCAAGAAATTAGAGTGCTTGCAATAATCATTGATCAAAGGGATCAAAAATGGTCGTATAATCAATACTTTTCAAAAACTTATCAATAGCTTCACGAGATTGAAAATTCGAAAACACATACGCGCACGTGCACGCGCGTATATATATATATATATATATATATATATATATATATATATATATATAACGTAACCTAGTAAGAAAAAGTCATTTGTCGATTGACGTCAAATTAATTCACATGTATTTCCACAGCTGTTCCGTGAGGTCAGGATAATGAAGATGCTGGACCACCCGAACATCGTAAAGCTTTTCCAGGTAATTGAGACGGACAAAACGCTGTACCTGGTGATGGAGTATGCGAGCGGCGGCGAGGTCTTCGATTACCTCGTGCTGCACGGACGCATGAAGGAAAAGGAAGCGCGGGCCAAATTCAGGCAGATCGTCTCCGCGGTGCAATACTGCCATCAGAAGAAAATCATACACAGGGATCTGAAAGCCGAGAACCTGTTACTCGACAGTGAGATGAATATTAAGATAGCGGACTTTGGCTTCAGCAACGAGTTCACACCCGGCGATAAGCTCGACACCTTTTGCGGTTCGCCACCTTATGCCGCGCCCGAACTCTTTCAAGGTACGTCATACAAGTTCGCGTTTCCTCATTGAGCGAGGAACGAGGTCACTGGTCAAACTACGACAGCTGATGCTCAATATATGCCACTTCATTGTCATCTTGAACTTCGATTCTTGATTCTTGTATGTGAAAAATTGATTGGCTCCTTCAAATCTGCTTTTAAAGAGCAGCGATGCTTGTATGAGAACAAATAGGCCCACACGGGCATTGGTGGCTACATTAGTTAATCTTTATGCCCCTTTAATTGTGACTTATTGTTAGCCAAGCTGTAATCGTTGACGCAAGTATTATTGATTATGTTGAATTTGTATTTCTCTCTCTCTCTCTCTCTCTCTCTCTCTCTCTCTCTCTCTCTCTCTTTCTCTCTCTTCAATTCAGTGTTCAGAAAGAATAATTTAAAATGATAATTTAAACTCTCCAGAATAGCATCTACAAAGCAAATTATGTTTCGTGATTTATGATTATGTGGATGATTTCAATCATTAAATAGGTATTGTTAATCAGATACTATTTATTAAATACTAACTATTGCGATTGGAATCGCAATAAAATAGGACTCGATATTGTTATGTACGAAATCTCAAAATTGAAACATTGGTTATTAAATTGCAGAGGCCTCGCTAAGATTTTTATCACGTTTACGTTTATCTGTATAATTAAAAGATTATAGAGCGTATCTTTGATATATAAAAATGCAACAACGATATGTAAATAATCATTAAAAATATAACAAAGTAGCAAGATTCATATCGTTTATTTATATAAGTATGATATTTTCATAAATTATTTGCAATATGTTTTAATGTAGACAATATTTGTTTATATTACAAGATTTCAAGTGTGAATCAATCAATAGTATATATACCGTAAATTCACTATATTCGCTTCTATCTAAAATAAAAAATTCGTACATTTGTATGCTAATACATGAAAAGTCTTGGCATAACATTGTGCATTTTTCCAAATGTCCCATATACTTTCATTACCGAGTGAATATAATTAATTTGATTTCTCAAAATAAATCCTAGAGAAATGAATAAATCTTACTCGAAAATCTTATTAATGACAGCTGGTCGTTTTAAAACTAAAATACCCACATACAGTTCTAGAGCTAAGCCATTCATATATTAAATTCTAATAAGTATATACGTTTACAGGTAAAAAGTACGATGGTCCTGAGGTCGACGTTTGGTCACTTGGCGTGATACTCTATACTCTCGTATCCGGCTCACTGCCCTTCGACGGCTCGACACTTCGGGAGCTACGCGAGAGGGTACTTAGGGGCAAATATAGAATCCCTTTCTATATGTCAACGGACTGTGAGAATCTACTTAAGAAATTTTTGGTGCTCAACCCTACGAAACGGGCCTCATTAGAGGTACGTGGCGATAAGGTTCGGATTCCAACTCCTCTCGCCTTTTATTAAATTTTTTGTTCAAACTTATATCATTATTGCGATGATGCGGATTATTATTTCATTAGAATTTAAAATTGTTAATTTGTCAATGCAAGAGTATAGCTATGTTTGTTTGAATTTTTAATAAAGGAATTCTTGTTATGGCATCTTATAGTGCGTGCATTCAATATTTACTAGATAAAATCACTTTTTCATATTCTTATACAAATACGATTATAGTATTAATGCAATGTAAGTGCTGGAATAATGCATTCCAATAAAATGATGAAAGTATAATATAAATTATAGTTGTATTAAATAATATGGGACTTGATTGAATCAATGTAATGTGAATTGTTCCTTGTTGTTGGGGAGTTTATTTAATAAGTCGTTTATTGATATTTCGAGTAGAATGAAGCAACGTTGTGCGCAGTTGTGAGAATTCGAACCAAATTACATTTAATACGACAATTTTCCGAAATTCCTATAATGTTAACAGTTCATGAAGAACACTTTCTTAAGGAATAATAATTTCACGCCTGTTTGTCGTTCACGCTCATCGTTTAATTGCAGAATATAATGAAAGATAAGTGGATGAACATGGGCTACGAAGATGACGAATTAAAACCGTACGTAGAACCGGAGCCCGATTACAAAGATCACAAGAGGATAGGTGAGTCTGCCAGTATGTACATAACACTTACTACTTACTGTTCTTGTCTTAGCGCATCCCGACACTCTAACTGCTTGTAACCAACGATTCTCTTGAACAGTGCAAGTTACAATATGCTGTCCTGACATACGTGTTTGCTTTTAAACGTCATAATCTATCTAGCATAATTTTGCTTCGAATTCGTGTATACTAACTACTCACAAGTGCTGCGAAATGTCGCAGAGCATCTGGCCATAAATGTACTTTGCAATGAATCGTCGGAGAAAAGCTTTGAGGAAAGCCAAAGGTCATACTTCTTCAAGGTCACAATTATTCTTATTTGAATGGATAATAGAACCTAATAGGACCGGATGATTATCATTCACAATATTTTTCTTTTTTGCCTTGGAGTATGCATATTAACAATTCGCAAACATTTTTAAGATTCAGCCTCCATCTTGTTTTTGTTCATTTTGTAGCCCTAGTTTAGGTTTCAGTTACATTATTTAAATTGCCATTTGTTTTTGAGTTTTTGTTAGAATATATGTATTTTTAATTGTCATAGAATTAGTAACATGTACGTTATTAGTTTTGACTATGCCTACCACGCCTGTATGTTACAGAAATACTAGCAAATATGGGCTACACGCGAACTGAAATCGAAGACTCTTTAGGACAGGCGAAATACGACGATATATTCGCCACGTACTTGCTGCTCGGCAGAAAAACAATAGACGTAAGTTGAACGATGAGAACAGATATAATACTGGAAGGCAGCTAAAATTTTAAATACTTGATGACGGGACACGAGTGAGAAAGCCTTGAGGCTGAAGTAACTTTAACCTTGCAGCCGGAAAGCGACGGTTCAAGATCAGGAAGCTCCTTGTCGTTGCGTAACATTCCACCGCAGGTTGGCTCAGGCGGGGGCGGAGGAAGTGGCGCCGTCACGGGAGGAGCTGTGCAGAGTCCCTCGCACAGAAGCGTACATCGCAGCATCTCGGCAAGCAATCCCAAACCCAACAGACGAGCCTCGTCTGGCGGTGAAACGCTTCGTAAGTCGATAAGAAAAGATGATACCAAAACAAAGCCTGGCAAAAGTAACTTATTGCGAACGACCGTTTTCTCGTACAAGAGCGCTCTAATGTTACTCATGCGCTGTGAATGGACTTTTTTGACTTGCGGCCTTCTCACACATTGATTGCTCATAAGCAGTAATTGCAGTATCGTTATGCCTAACAGTAAATTGCTATTACCTAGCAGACAAGTCTTTGCTACTCTCTGGAAGAGCGCGAAACACGTTGAAGCAATTAGCTTCCCGTCATTTATCGAAAGCAGTAACGTTAGATTCGGTTAATATTTAATATCGGACTGGCAATTTCAGTTAATAAGTTTCAATCGCTTGTAATCATCAAATTGCGCTATGCAGAAATTGTCGTGGAACATTGCATTATTTGTAAACTGAATTTTATTATTTTTTTTTCTTCTTCGAGCGTCGATAAATCGAAATTATTTATTTCGATAGTAGAAGTGAGGATTATTATCTTAAGAATTTTAGCGAGTAGCTTGATTTTTTCTGCTAGCATAGCACAGCAGCCTTGCGATTTTTTCCCAAGCAATTCCAATAATTAACTTTGCACATAACAAACATTACAAAGTTTTTTTTTTTTTTATTTTTTATTTCTTCATTTATGCCGAAGGATCTATACTGAAAACGTATTTACGATAGAAATGAAAACAAAAACAAAAGAAAAAGAAAACAAAAAATGTAAACGAGAACCTTTGGTCGTATTTGGTTCTACTCCATTTTGCTTCTTAGGAGGAGCTCCAAGTCCAGGTAATACAACGAACCACAATCATTCTACTGCTGTGACCGGTGGAACGGTTGCTGGAAGTGGCGTTAGTAATTTCAAACGACAGAATACCGTGGATGCAGCGACAATTAAAGAAAATACCGCTCGAGCAGCTCGTGAATCTGCTCGACCTTCCGCGACCAAAAATAGCCCTGGACAACTTGACACTAGTGAGTTCATTTCACACTCAAATAACCACTTTTTTCAAGATCCACCAGTTACTATCCGAGATACAGCTCCGAAAGAATATCACACAAAGACGTCATTCGTACTTCATCGCTTCAAGGCTTCAATAAGAGCGTTTGTTTTGGAATTCGTTGCAGTGAATTAACTAACTAGCTAGCTTTATGTTTTTTTACTTCTATGAGCTTTTTCTCGCTGATTTATATTACTTACGATTGTTTTTCACTTTGAAATATATACAGTTCTTTTGTTCCAAGTTTTATTTTTAGATTACTAGAGAGGGCATTCGATAAGGATTGGGTACCGTTTAATAATTTATCAGGATATATATGTGATTTCACATCCAAGCAAATAAGGAATTTGTACAGTTTTCATCTCAATTTATAATAGAGAGATTAGCTCAAAGAGGATAGTAATTACTGTAAAAACTAGTTCTTCCAGTTAATATTTGAATGGATTAGAAGATAAACTTCGATGAATTTTAACGTAATTATATAATGTACTGAGAATATAGCCAATTATAATAATACACAACTCACAAGTATTGTGTGTGTGTGTATATATATATATATATATATATATATATATATATATATATATATATATATATTTTATCTTTATGTCAAATGTGTATATATATATATATATATAATTTATCTTTATGTCAAATGTGCATAGTCGTGCACATAAGTTATTTCTTTATTGTCTTTTATTTGTATAATAACAAATTATATTAAATCTCCTGTGCCTAATTTTATGCTTAGCTCTATTTTTTATTTAAAAACAACAATTTTTTTTCTTTTCTTCTTTTTCTTTTCTTTTTTTCAACAAGAAGTAAGTATAATATAGAGAGAAATAACATATTCAATATGATTATTTTAAAGTTTGCTCATCTTAAGTTTGTTAATATTATTTCTTAGATAATCGACTAAATAACGGGGAAGAGAGAATGCCAGTATGTTAGTAATGGTCGGTGAGGAGAGAGGAGGAATGAAATCAGGTTAAGAAATGTATGGTGGTGGTAGAGGTTTTATTTTTACAAATGTTATAGTCTCAGGGTATCGAGTACTTCTTGTATTTAATTTAATGTTTTGTGGTCATTCTTTGTGTCGTTAAAAGAAAAAAAAAGAGAGCTATAATTTTCATGTTTTATTTTGCTTTGTTTTGTGTTGAACCAAATCTAATGAGGCTTGCAGTGACAATGTTCATTCTAGGCGTCGGTACGAGTCCTGGCGGTAAGACGAGAGTTGGCAAGAGCAACACGATGAATACTGGAGTCACAGGCATTAGATCGACCATAACACCAACTCCTGGTTCTATCGGTCGTCGAAGTACTATATCGTACGACCAGGCTAAAACTTCTTCTGCATCTACTGAAAGAACGAACGATGTTCCCAGGTATTTCATTGCTCGATATTTACACTTTATTAATTTAAATATTAATTTTATTATTTTAGTAGCTTTTATTTTATCTTGGCGATAAAGTCTTGGTGTTTGTAAGCATTCGAAAGCGAAGATCAAACTAAAAAAAGTGGAATTTCGGTCTATGAGTATTTAGTAGTTTTAGAAAAGACAAAGTAAATATGTAAAAAAAAATATTTAATTAATTTAATTTATTTAAGGAAAATACATTGTTTACGGATAACAAAGCATTTTTAAGTTTTGTTTTATATATTTTCCAATTTATCACTAATAATCTATTATTTAGTTTGATATTTTCCACAATAGTATAGTGAATTATAAGAAGAAATAATATGTATGTAATTATGCAATTAAGGGATCTCTATTATGACTCATGCATAAAAGTTTATAAGAGCGAATTCAAATATCTTTAGTAATTATACACACTGCACTTTTTTTAAGTCACAGACGTAGGTCTCAAATGCTCTTCATATGTTCATTTTTACAAATTATTCCAAAAGCTTTCAAACTTTATACACTAACTTTATAATCATCTACTTTTATGCAATGACTTTTTAGAATAAATAGGCGAAGCAAGACGATTTATACATACCACGGTGAATTTAACACACATTTCTCTGTTGCATCGCTCAAGCATGTTGGCTGGTGAATGACAATTTTTCATTAGAAGATGATTAAAATCACACTCAGTCGCTCAACTTTCACTACTATAGTTCTAAGAGTATAAGCGATGCTTTGTTTTTTATTTTCCGTCAACGAAACAACACTAACAGTAACACTAACTTGAAAAGAAAAAACGCACTCGTAGGTCGTATAAAATTTTTGAGGCTCACGTTCATGCTTATCGACATCCTATAAGGATCTTCGACTTTTCACATGAAAAATTTCATCAACGTCATATGTCATGCCGAGTCATCCATTTCTTCATTCATACATACATTCGTTCGCGTTATATTGAACACCCCAGTCGTTGGCAAATAACAATAAGATAATTGAGCAGAGGGTGGGTTACATGCGATAGAAATATTATTAAAGATTATTGTGTTGTGTGTATCATTCTTTTTTATACAGACACGATGAGCATATATATTGTAAACTGATAGGAGAGTAGTCATTAAATTACTACGATTACAGAAAATACACACCTACAGATAGGTTAAATCCCAAATTAGAGCTCGCGCGAGATGCTTTTTACGGAGCATTCTTAAAATCTTTTGTCGTTTATCGTTAAGGGAATGGCTATCTATTCGTTGAGCACATTCATGCCAAGTAAATTAAAAAAAAAAAAAAAAAAAAAAAAAAAGGAGATAGTGCCAAAGGAATTAATTATTGACGACAGGAAGATGGGGGAGGGTTTGGAGAGAACAATTGACACACTCGAGTACTCAGTACTTACGGGTACTTTGGTGTGGGCTTTAACTTACGCGAGACCGTAATAATGAGAGCATAAAAATGACTATTAAGTGAATAATTGGTTGAAAGAGCATTTTCGTCGATGCGATAAAAATAGATGTGGGGATATGGTGATACTCGGGGCATTATTAATAAAAAAAAACGTTATTGTGTGGGTGCAGCCTTGTCGAGGGCGCTAGACCGACACGGGGACATACAAAATCGGCGAGCATCAGCGCGGGCCACCGAGCCCTGGGTCCCGGCGATCATGCACTCCTGGATCATCCTCAGCCACGCAACGCCCTACTCGTCACTGCTGATCCTCTCAGGCAGAGGTACAATTTCCTTCATCCTCTGTCCTCGTCTCGACCTTGCATCCTTCAGCTTTCATCCTCACTCTTACTCCGTAATGGAAATGCAATATCAGACTGTCCCCTTGCCCGCTGTTAATTTCGTAAGTCTGGCATCGCGTGATCGTGCGCTTCGTCTCGGACTCCCAATCGTTAAAGTGTAGTGGTTAGTAATTATGGCGTTAGTAGTAGTGCCCCGCTGACAAATACGATAAGTCGAGCAAATAGGTAAAAGAGAAGTTCGCGCATTCGTGGAAGGAAAGTCATGTAAACGCAACATTTATTAAAATAAGATGCACACGGACGTCGCTCAATTAATTTTATAATCAGTGAATTATCGTTAATCATTTATGTAAAATTTATAGTAGCGTAGGTAAATGAGTGTAGTCCAAAAGGGGATTGAGCTCATTTTTATTTGTTATGATATGCATATATTAAGCTTATTAAAGTTTTTATATGCTTGAAGGAGTTTTACTTTTTTTTCTTTTTTTTTTTAAATAATTTTATTAGGATTATTTTATCGACGAAGAAGCAAATTAATCGATACTCCACGTTTAAGTAAAACTTAATAAATTAAAAATTGTAGTATTTAATATATTAATTTGAGCTCTTGGGGTTAAATTTTAAATAAAGTACAATAAAGTAAATGATTTATGAAATTTTCATAAAAATTTGTTAATTGGAAGAAATTCAAAATACTCGGTGATAGATTATTATTACCTGTTTATTTCCATAGAGACTCTGTAATTACAAAATCGCAAAAGGTAAATGAGATATTGATTGCTTAGTGTGTACGGTAATCGTCTATAAAAAGATAATAATTGTATTCGTGATCATTGATTTATTGAAATGATGAGCGGATTTTAATTTAACGGAAGAGATGAAATACACTTAAAGTCTTATGTTGTATTTTCAAAAAGCTGTACCCTATCCTTAACCTTGTCATGTCCATTCTTTCTGGTCTATTGGCTATCACGAGGCCTCTGATTATCTTTTTGTTTTGTCCTTTTTATTGTATCACTTGTAATAAATTGGTATTATTACTATCTTGGATAGTGACGTTGCAGCCATTTTATTTATATTATTCTCTTAATATCTCTTAAAGAGCATTTGGCCTACCTTTAAATTATTATTATTATTTTTTTTTTTTTTTTTTTTTTTTTTTTTCAGCGATCGTGAGAATATTATTCATTTGCATGAATGTTTTATTTCGTGAATCATTTCGTCCTTGTTTTGAAAATCAATCATTCATGATCATCATCGTCATTCATCGTAAAGTACACAACTACTTTTTTCGTTTATTTTCATATTGTAAATCAACATGTATAATAGTGTATAAATGCTTAGGTAATGCACGTTTTATCACATAATTTCTCAATAATTTGTTTTTTTTTTTTTTTAATTATCCCGCTGAAATTACTTTAACTGTTTACTTTATTTATTTACCGACAAAGAAAAAGTTACATGTATTTTAGCATCTAAATATTGATTGCTATAAATATATTGCATGCAATTAAAATTTGCCGACTAGTTTTATCAATAAATAATCATAAATTATAATATGTGAAATTTCAATATCTAAATGCTTAATCTGAAATAAGAAGAGAATTAAAGGTAATAAACACAGTGAAAGCATAATTAATTAATATATAAATATAATGATATTTGATAATTAGTTGCTGTTCAATATAGTATGTATATTAAGAAAGTCCGGATTTTATAGATAATAATATAATGTCTTTTATTAATTAAAGATTAATATTTTAATTTTAAAAAATGCTTATGCCATTCTTAATGTATTATCAATAGTTCGCACATTTAGTTAACTTATAATTAGCGTACATGCAAAGTATTGTTTTTATAGTAGAGTGGCATTTTATCTGCATTTGAAGTTGCAATTCTCTTATTCGTTTAATTAATGTTTATGATTTTAAGGTTTATGGATCATATACATATGTACACATAGTGTAACATAATAATTAAAAGCTAAGTAAAAGTTTCTGTAGTTCTTGCTTTCGGTATTCTATATTTACATAAAGAAACATAATAATTGCATCGTTAGAAACTTTGTTTTGCCTATCAACCTAGAAACGATAATAATATAGGGCTATATGTATATCATGTGAGTAATAATTAAATATCTGAATGACGAGATGATTCTGTCAATGAATTACAAATATAACTTTATATTGCTAATTGTAATTTTTTCATTTTTAAAGCTTGGTTGTTACTCCAAGTAATAGATTGGCAACAACAACAACGCCTGCATTTCCAAGGAACGTCCCGAGTCGTAGTACCTTCCATTCTGGCCAAACTAGAGTACAGAGAAACCATACTCAGGTTTGTTTATTTTATTATACATTTTACCGTATATACTGCCATGTCTGTACAATTGACTGTAAACATTTGAAAATATTGGTATTTAAATGACCGTTTTAGAAATTATGCATTACTTGTCTAATTACAACTATTATTAATTTTAGGGTCACACACATACGCAGGATACGAGTGCGATAAGCCCGTTGGCAAGGCCGTCCTTCTTTTCCAAGCTTTCCTCAAGGTTTTCCAAGCGGTAAGTTAATACTTTTATTACTCCAAATTTTCATTTTCGTTTATGCGTCTTTTATTTACTTATATTCAGCATGTTTGAAGAACTTGTTATACATACGTACATGCATACATACATACATACATACATACATACGTCCGTACATACATATAATTAGACACATAACGCATGTATATAAAAGAGAGAGAGAGAGAAAGAGAGTATGTGTGTATACATAATGTATAACCGCTTATATTATCAGTCAAACAATTCTCACCTTTATTTTTTAAATCACCGCAAATTCTATTTATAAAGAGAAAGTTAATATAATAATAGTAACATAAATTAAATTAAATGTGCATATATGAGTTTTTATAAAATAATTTTTATATAATCGCTTTTTTTATTTTCAAATTTAATATTTAACAATTTTTATATCACATTCCTTTTTCACTTATATTAAATTTTTTCTGTAATGAACTATGAATTTTGTCAAAGTATAAAAGTAAAATTCTTAAAAATACGTGCTTGACTGAGGGGCGGCATGACGGGCAAAAGCTCGGCTTTGCCTCGCCTCGCCACTGACCTAATTTCAGAAGAGCTTGGCTTCGTAACCCTTCAAGTCCAATTTACGTAAAAATTTTTTAATTTATCATTTTAAAGTGGAACTCTCACATTATTGATATGTTTATTATTTACATCTTTTTTTGTGAAGATCAACACAACACTTTCATTGACAAGAACATCAACCCCTAAAACATGGATTTAGATGAGACTGTTTCATTTTTTTATTATCAAATGTTAGAATACAAAACTTTTTTTTCATTATAATTTAAATGCAAGTTAAATAATGAAAGTTACTATATTGAAACGCATATTTGTTTAAATACCATTGGCAATTATGAAATAAGAGGTAATAAAGAAACAATTATAGAATGCCTTAAAACATTTTGACCAAAAGTTTTATACAATACTTTTTCTTTTAATATTTAGTTTTAACGATTCTTAAGCATGATTAGCGAGTCATTTGTAGATTATTATAGTATTTTGAGAAATTTCATCCATATATTTTACTTGAAAATTGAGCATTTTAATAATGAGTATCTATTAGTGATTTATAGGTCGCGAATATGACTATTTACTGTAAAGAAAGGCCCTAAGTTTCATGGAAATACATATTCTATATGGTTGATGTTCTTCACTTTAGTTTCATTATTTTTATATAAAAACATACTTGAAGGATTAACGTATTCCATTTATCGATGTACACTTGTATATATATACAATGCTCATTTTAATAATTTGTTGCTAGTGTTAGTTCGTTCAATTTATCTTTATTGCATTATTGCTTGCATGCTTAAAGTATATATTTATTTTTGTTCTTTCAAGGATGCACAATGACTATGTAACATTAAATAAAAATCCTTGCAAAAGACGCGATGGGTTGTTATAAAAAGCAAAAAAAAAAAAAAATCAAATAACCATTCGGCATTAATCGTAAAGAAAGGAAGAAAACGATAACTGACTCGATGAGCCAGCAGCGACCATTATCGATGAAAGCTAAATAAATTTCTTGTTTTATTAAAATATTAAACGAATGTGTGCAATTAAATTAGTTATAAACGGATAGTAGATATATTGTGAATGTTATAATCTCTTTGTTCTTTTAAAATCTTACAAAGATCCGGCATCTCGCGTTTCATTTTACTATGTCTGCCTGTTTCTCTATTCGTCCCATATGTGCTTGACAGTGTCCCTTTGCAATATTATTTTTTATATTGCCATGTAATAACAACAAGGGTTATTGTTAAATTTTTGTTAAGTTAACATTATATAGTCTTGTATAGTTAACATTAATCAATTTATCATATCAGTTTTTAATCAAGACTTTTTAAGTACAAATATGGTAAATTTCAATTTTATTGTATTGAAAATATATGTATGCATATGTGTGTGTGTGTATATATGTGTATATATATATATATATATATATATATATATATACATATACATAATATGCATACCTATAATGAACATTGTGAAAAGTCAAGGCCTCCTCGCATACTCATTGTGCATCCCTGCTAGACTTGAATGTAGCGAGGTATCACTTTATCAAATTTCTCTTTTTTTCATTTAATCATACCGATATAATTCTAATGTATTGATCATGGCATATGTAATTTACTGTGCTGATTGATGCGGACATATGGATAGGCTAAAGCGATAGTAAAAATGAGAATAATGTATTATGAGGGGATAATAGAGAAAGAGTAAGAGAGAGTGAAAATATGTGGACTAGTATTTAAGAGGCCACAGAATAACGAGAATCGATTTATAATTATTAACTTTTTTAAAAAATTAAATATAATTTATAATTATAATTATAAAATTAAATTAAAAATATAAATTATATATAATTTATAATTAATATATAATTATCAACGCTACTGTCTTTCATGATATGGTCACTGTACAATCATCTTGGGTATACACACATTATATAAAATATCAAATCGCCTATAAAAGCAAATACAAGCGAATGTTAAGTTAAAACTAAATGCAATAAAAATCGTAATTAATTGTGAAATACGGAATTAAAGCTTTCATAGCCATTGGTGCATCGTTGAAAGTTCACGAGTCACTTTCTTAATTTAATTGATGATAAACACATATATCGGTTTCGATTTATGCTGCAGGACGTAAAGGCAATTAACTAGGCTACGCTTCGAGAGTTCGAAGACTATTTCGCAAAAGCCACACGACCTCGTACTGGATGAAAATTTGGAGTTGGCGGTTGAAGCGGTGCATTGTTGAAATTCATATACCGTGATTAATTATAATGAATAAATTTGTCTCTGTTATTCTGTGGTGAAAGCCTAGTAAAGAAATGAAAGAAAGAGACTGTCGTTGTAACAGTGATAAACTGATAGTTAGAGTTTATATATATATATATATATATATATATATATATATATATATATATATATATATATATATATATATATATATATACATACTTACATATAGATATATAGTTATAAATACATAGATAAATAATACGATTGTGAAATATAGATCGACTGAAAGTGTGCGAGTCTGAAAAAGAAAGAGAGCGAATAATAAAACACGTACGAAAGATAGCGAGTGAAGCAAGGTTACCTTAAAACAACCTTGAATTTGTTCTACTTTGATTATGTAGCGTCTTCCCTTATTTCATTTGGGAGATAAATGTCTACTTGACTTGTGCCTTTTCTCCCTAATAATTTTCAGAGAAAAGAAAAAAAATATCTCTATTAAATGCTGTATAGGGCATTTCGTCCAACGCACCATTTTTTAAAAAATTTTTTTTTATTATTATTTTTTTTTATTACAGATATGTATTTTTTTGTACATTCTTCCGCGATGATTATATTATATAACACAGTAGATAAAAATAATTTACGCCATAAATCTCGCAAAGTAAAAATAGTGCGCTAAAGCGATGATTTTAATCTTTTTTTTTTCATCTTTTTTTCTTTTTTCTTATTAAATAACAAGAATTTTAAAGTTCAACGTCTATTGCCTGAAATCAGTTAAGATCTTATACCTGACGTATTTTTCTCAATGTCTGGGATCTTTTTCTTTCAGTTTTTAATTATTATCACACTTGTCTGCGTTTCTAAAATTACAAATCAAGTTATCACTGTGCGATACGAGCGTGCTGTTTATAGTTGCCAAAAAACATAAGTTTTCATTAAAGACAACGACCGAATTTATGAGATGAAATTTGTTACTATTAAACGAAATTGAAAACATTTGGAGAGAAAAAAGAGTATAATTCGTACCTGTAAAGAAAATTACATGCATGTTGAAAATTATTTATTTTGTGAATTTAAATGTTGTATTCGATAAATTTCAATACTGAAAATTTGATTAAATGACTTGATAGTCACGATTAAATCTAAAATGACAAAAATTATATTAAGCACTTGAATTAGCTTAATAATATTGTAGGCTACAACATTTTTACATTGGCAAATTAAATAATAACAAGACATTGAAGACCTAACGAAACGTTGGACGGAGCACATTAATTTTAACTTTTAAATATAGATTCGCAAATAATGTAATGTTAAAGCTTGCATGAACTAAAAATAATTACAATTGGTGCCTTTCAAATTTTATCTTCGTAACTTAAAAGATGCTTAAGAATATTCGGATACAAAAAGAGATTCCTGTTTAATCGATATTGTTAGGCCTGATTGGCCAAATAGAACGTAAACTAGTGTAAAATGAGGCTATTCAAGAAAAATAAATACTGAAAACTTCAAAATTTTAATTGCTATACAAACATGAAAATTTTACTTTTATTCTCTTGATTTTATGTATTTTATATTTATCATTCGTTATGATTTAATTTACATAAAAATAATAGTACATTGAATTTTTGCATTCAATATTAAAAAATTAAAGAATAATGTCTATATAACAGAAATCTTAATTGATATTCCATATTCTCTTAACGCTTCATTGGGTCTATCAAAAAAAAAAAAAAAAAAAAAAAAAAAAAAAAAAAAACATGTTGAGCATTATGACATTCGAAATCTCAAACACGAAGAAGCGTTTTTGACGATAGCCGAATGGTCCTTGCATTTTAATGCTAAATTATATAATAAAAATAATAAAATTAAATAAAAAAAGAAAATTAAAAAAAAAAACAATCGTTAGCTTAATATTGAAGATAGCGAAATGCAAATCATATGATTATCGTGTATTGACAGGTTTTCCAAATAAAGGACGCGAATCTCTTGCACTTGAATCGCCGATATATAATGATGAAACGAGGACAAGCATCACACAGTCACAAATCAACTATCGCTCACAAATAATTATAAAGCCCAGCACTGTCTCTGCGATAACCTTTTAGAACAAAAAAGGATAAAAAAAAAGAAAGAAAAAGAGAAATAAACCATTTTACACATGCGCGCATGCACGCACGGACGCACTCACACGCACATCCCCGTCCGCCACAAAATCACTCTATT